TGAAACTTAGGTTTATGATTATGAGAAGGTCCCTTACTCTGTGATGGCTGAAAAGCTAATTGCACAGTTTCAACAGTTTTACGGCGCATCCTATACTCTTCTTGGACACACACTGCTATGAGGTCATTCAAATTCCATTTATCCTGCTGAGCATTGTAAGTAACCTTAAACTGATTAAATTTGCTAGGAAGGCTATTCAAAACATGATAAATCAGGAAAGGCTCTGCAATGGGAATGTCAAAAGCTTTTAGCTTAGATGATATATTTATTATTTTCATGGCATGCTCCCTAACACCACTTGAACCATCATATTTCATGCTCATCAATTTATCCATCAGATTCCCAGTTTCGGCTTTATCGGATTCAATAAATTTTTCTCCGATGACATCCATAAAATTTTTGGCATTTTCATTATTAGGGATGACACCTAGAATAGAATCAGATATCGATCGCTTAATAATTTTCAAACAGAGTTTGTTAGCTCTTTTCCATTTTCCATACTCGGCTACATATTCAACAGTACTTTTATTTGTGGGTTTCTCAAGCTTTTTCTCCATTGCAAAATACAAGCCCAAAAGACCAAGTGCTATTTTTACGTCTCGTTTCCATCTCACATAATTATTTTCAATCAAGGTTTCAATAGCAAACAGTTGATTCGAAAGGGACGAGGCATTATAAACTGTGGAAACATAGAATATCACTCTTAATATCATCCAAATATAATGCATACAATCAAATGGAAGATGAAATATCCAATTAATTAGATAATCCGTAATTTAAATCGAAACATGTAAATTTTATTACGGTAAAAGTCTAGATGCATCATCATAAAGTTACCTTTGGGTCGACAATACAACATGCTATAAGCTACTCTTAAAAACTTAAACACATCATATAGTTAGTAAGCAAAATCACATTGGTTTTCGAAATTTCAACACCTTTGGGTAGAAGGAAATTTCTAGACCAAAATAAGCTCGTTAACTGCCTTATACCATTTTCCAAAAATATCACATATAATAACACCTTTGGGCAAGATATTATATGCAATAAATCAAAATTGTTGCGTTATATATATATATAATAATAATAATAATAATGAGTGTGCTACTTTGACAGCTACCCCCAATTTGTATTTGAAAATATTTCTCTCATAATGGGAAAAACAAGAATCGTTTCAAAACCCATAAAAAATTTAATCACAAAGCAAAAATTATGCAACAAATCATGATCATTAATTGATAAAAGACAAGAAATCCATATGTGATTAATATTGAGAGACGAAATTGGCAACAAAATTTCAAAATGAAATTTAATGCATAAATAATGGCAATACATAACATTTTAATGAAATAATACAAAAGTCGTCAATTAATTTTATTATTTATTCAATATATAATTTTAATCGGGTCAAGTTTAAATAAAATTTTTAATTGGGTCAAAATTGAAATCTTAGGGTCAAACTTTTAAAGGTTCAAATTAAAAGCCCCTTGGAAAAATTATATCTTACACCTAAATTAAAAACATGTCCTTCACTATTCAAAAATTGCGTGACAGGTCCTAACTTGAGTAATTGCAATATGACCCCAACTGTTAATTGCAAACAGGGGTTTGAAAATTAGTTATTTACAGCAGAAGCCCCCGTCTACCTTTGGCCCGTTTTCTATAGAAACTGAAATTTTTTTTCTTTTTTTTTCCTTTCTGCGGCACCGGCGGCATTCGGTGCAGCTCCTGTCGGCACTGCAACCCGTGCGGCAGCAACATGCTGCCGCCGATCAACTATGTAATTTTTTTGTTTTGGTGTGTATGACAGTGGCCCTATTTGGAGATCAGCGACGACAATGATGTGGTGCTGTAAGCTTTAGGGAAGGCAAGCACTTTAATTTAAATTAGCAGCGGAATCATGGATTTTGGATGGTCCAAGAGAACTTTAGTTTCACAAGCATCTCGCCTTCTAAAGCCATGGCTTCTTTGAGAGCTTTACAACCACCCGAAACCAAGTAATTGACTTTGGACATGCATAATATTGCAAAAAATAAAAATAAAAATGTGCACACAATACTCCTGTGTGTCTATGCGAAAGAACTGATCTTACATTTTCGGCTTCTTTACTTAATTATGCACATATGCATACGAAAATATATATGCACAGAAACTTGAAATAATAAAAAAAAAAAAATTCATGAAGGATTTCGATTTTAACATGAAGGCTCTGATACCAATTGTTGAATTTAATTTTTATCATGTTAAGAATCGACAATCACAATCCAATAAATAAATAAAAATGAATTTATACATGCGAAAGCCATTGTTGAATAGCAGTTGTAATAGCTGCCAAGATCTTCTTCTTCTTTCTTCTCACAAAATACTAGTTATCAATGGAGCAAGCTAATGAAAATACAATATGGAGAGGAGAGGGAATCTAGCCTTTATATAAAAATTTATTTAGTCGTCACATTATCGACTTAAACCCTAATTAGGGTTTACGCACAATTCTGACCTACAGACTTTAAAATTACCACATCTTATTAATTACAATCTGTAAGGTGTAAAGGGCCTAATTGATCATTTAATAAATTTGGCCCAAACACAAATATCACTATGAGCCATATATCTAACCCGTAAAATTTGCAATCGCATGTGAAGCCTACATATGAAATTATTAATTATTCCAACATGCTCTTCTAAGAATTTTGGAATATAGATATGCGTCGACGCAGTGGGATTCATACCTTTGATTACACATTTAGTATCTTTTCATACATTTCATTCATGAGATTCATATGACATGCACAAGAGAGTATGAACTCTCTGTTGATACATTTTGATGAAAGGGAGAAGCATCGGTGCTTGATATGATTATTTGATGGATTTGGTTCCTTCATTTCTTTTCAATGCTGTTTTCTTGTTTTCTATTTATTGATCATTACGCTGAAACATCTGGCTGATTATACCTATTTAAAATTCAATCTCAATCCATTCACCGGTTGATTATGAGCAGGGGTGGAGCTAGGAACCTCTCTCAGTGCGGGCATAATTTTAGGCATTAGCTATAGTGATTTTTATTTTTTATTTTTTAAAGTTTATGAACAAAAAAAGAGCTAGGTCCTTATTTCCTCTACATAAATTCCCAAATCACAAATGATAAATCATAACTAAGATATAAATCGTAACTCACAAATAATAAATAAATAATTGAATTATGTGAGGTGATGACAAAACAGAGAACAAAAAGCAAAAACAAAACCTAGAGAGAGAGAGAGGCGCTAGTAGTCTGATTGGAGATTAGAAGGGTTAGCGTTGTCGTTGGCCGCAAGTCGTCGCCCATCAGCAGCAGCAGCCAGCAGGAGAGCGAATCTTGAGTCACTCCACTTCGCACAAATCACCATGGCAGCAGCAAGCAGAAAAGGGTTTCTCTTACAATTGAATTGAAATTTGAATTTTGGAGTTTTGGACAATCTGTTGTGGGTAATCAAATATATATGGGTCATTGTGTTGGGCATAACGTTGTTATATAAAATAGCTGATCACAAAATCACTCATCAGCCCAAAAGCAAATGGGCCAAAACTGAAAAATTTTAAAAATTTACCCAGTTGGCAACTTGGCATTCACCTTCTTCCTCGGCTTCTCTTCCACAATTCCATTTCTGCAGCCTGTAAATTCTTCTCCTCTCCTCTTCTTCTCTTCTTGGACCTTTGATCCGTTGGAAATCCCAGTGCGAGCACTGCCTTCAACTACTGTCGAAAATACCAGTTGAAGAAATCTCAGCCGAGGACAGTGAAGTGGCTCCGCCCCTGATTATGAACAATTGGAACTTACAAGGATATTCAGTATGTTATCGACAAAGTTTTTCTACTGATAAATGGTGCACAAGAGGCAAAGAGTTCATTATCTCAATTATTCTTAGTGATTTGTACGTGTGTGTCATTAATGAGGCTGAAATGCTGCTACATCTTGTTAGCTGCATGGAAACTAGATCTTGAAATCCAAATTCAGAATGAAATGGGAAATTTTTTGAAATTTTCTCACTCCGATTTCAATGTAGCCAAACGAAAGAATCTAGTTGAGGACATATTTTTTGGGTTAGCTTACCCTCACGGAATCACGATCCTTTGTCCTCACCAATGTAGCAAGTGTGTCATCATGGGTACAAGGGACATGATGTCATTCTCACATTCTTGCAACTTAATATCAATAGTCTGTATTGGATGAACATTTTACATATATTTCAATTCATTATAGTAGCCATAGAGATGAAAGTTATGTAAATTCATGTGACCGATACATCCTTGTGACTAGAACATGGAATAAGACGTAAATATTAAGTTCCACTATGTTCTTTTATTAGATATTCGGTAAGTTCAATTGCACAATATTTGCCTTGAAAGAGGGTTCATGACATAGTATCAAGTCTTTTATTTTGCTCATTTTGGGTTCAATGACTTTTACTCAACCTTAGTCGAGAATGACAAAAAAACCCTTGTCAGACTAGGTAATAAATTTTACTAGTTTTCTCGGCAAAATACCTTGTTGAACTAGGTAAATAAGTTTTTTTTACTAGTTAAAAGAGCAAAATTTGATTCCAAATTATTAATTTCGGATGGTTTATTTTAGAATTTCAACTGAATTTTTCCCCTTAAGACGAATATAGGTCCCGTTTGACAGTGATTTTGAGAATTGAATTTGTGACCGTTAAGAGAACAGTGAGGGCCACCTGTGAGAGAAGAAGTCAAATTTTACGGCTGAAATAATGAAATAACGGCTAAAAAATCAATTTTTTGAAGGGTGAAGAATCACTCTCAAACAAGCTCATAGATAGGAAACACGTTCACAATACTGCTAGAAGGTCCCACATACAATCTGAAGTTTATTGTAATTTTTTTCAACTTATTATTCTCAATAATTGTTGCGGATGGAGCCGTTACGTAGAGGTGTACGACGTCGTTTGCGCAGGATATAAACCCTTGATAAATCTTGATTAAAAAAAACGCACTGACCTGGCTCCAAATGCCCCAAAATAAATCTTCTTTTAGAAGCCAAATTTTATTCTTTCTTCCTCCTCGTGTCCTCCGGTCACAGACTCGCAGCCCTCCACCCGCCAATTTCTTCCTCCGGCAGCCGGCATCAAGATTTACAAAAAATAAGTGCACCATTCTTCTGATTCTAGCAATTGCTTAATTGTATTCGTCTCGATTCTTTATTGCTTTCGGTAGAAACAATCTTCCCAATACAAATAAATAGTTTCAGCAATTCTGATTGAAAGATGAACACTTCTCGTCCCTGCAAGAGCTGCAGGAAGAGAACTCTCCTCCCGGATGATGTAACAGGCAATATGGTCTGTACATCATGTGGTGTAGTTCAAGATTTCGACAATTTTCAAGCCCATATTGGTGGCATTACCGGCCCTGCTGGCACCTATGTCCGTGTGGGCACTGCTGGCACTGGCAGTGCTTACAATTGTAAAGAAAGTAAAATATAAGAGGCCCAAAAGTTTATTGCCAATTTTATGTTTAAATTAGGACTTTCGGGTTCAAAATCCCATGAGGTTAAGGTTATGGTAGAGACAATTACAACAGGTGAATATGGTCAAGGGAAATGGTTTCCGGTTTTCATTGGTGCTTGTGCTTATGTTGTGATGAGGATGGATAAGAAGATCTTGCCAATTGAAGAAGTAGTGGATTTGGTGGGGTGTGATGTTTATGAATTGGGTTGGATGATTAACCGAGTTGTGGATTTTCTTGATTTGAAGTTGCCGGAGTTTGACATTGTGAATTCACTCGAGCATGTTATTAGGAATTATCCGATGTTTAATAAGATTTGGAGGATGTGGTTCAGAGGATGTTGAAGCAAGGGGTGTTTTTGATGCAATGTTTGATCAAGTGGTTCTTGACCACGGGAAAGAGGCCGTGGCGGTGGTGGCTGCAGTTTTAGTTTTTGTTGGGGAGTTGAATCAATTAGATTTGAAGCTTGAAGATGTGGCAAAGAAGTTACACTTGTCGATTATTACCTGTAGGCGTAGGTACAAGGAACTTCTGGAGAGGCTTGTAAAAGTGGCTCGAGCTTTGCCGTGGGGTGAAGATGTCACAGTGAAGAATATTATGAAGAATGCTCCAAATGTGATTCAGTACATGGAAATGAAGTCGATGAGCCAATTTGGTTAGAAGGGGAAAAACTTTGAGCATGTCGAATTTGATCTGATGGAAGTGGTTGCTGACTGTCTGAGCAAAGAAACCGGATATGGGTTAGATATTTATACAACTGAGAATTGCTCCGTGCAGTATTTTGAGGCAAATCATCAGTCACCTCTAAGAATTGAATATCCAGATAAATTTCAGATTTCTCCAGAATGTTTGACCATGATTTATTTTAAGTTCTTGGATGAGGTTCCTGCACTCGAGGCTAAATCAGAAAGGTCCAAGGATAGCAAAAGGAAGAGAGGAAAAAGTTTTGACCTTCATTCATGTACAGATTGGTGGAAGGGTAAATCAGATTTTAGTAAAAAGCTTTTGTTGAAGCAGGTATTTGAGAAAGATATAGGATTGGATATTTCACCACCATTTTTTGATAGGGGATGTTTAGCTTCTGCAATTAGGCAAGAAAAGATAAAAGCTTCCAACCTGCGAATCCAGAAGATTATGCATCCACTTGCAGCTGATTCCGATGATGGGAATGATATTTGTGCCTTCAAACATATAAACTCTGGGAAGAAACAAAGGAAAATGCGAGTGGATATTGATTGGGAAGATCTCATCATTGAAACTCTCCTCCTTCATAATGTAAAGGAAGAGGAGATAGAAAATGTACACTATAATGTTTTGTTGGATTTGCATGTTTTTGACTATGGCAATTTGTGATTGGCTTCGACAAGGAGCAGTTTTATTAAAGCTCGAAAACTGCATTTTGGCACATCAAAATATGTTGATGTCTCTTGCCAAGACAGATTGTCATCATGTGGACCTTCTACAAGCAGAAAGATATTCTACATTCTAAAATCTGGCAGTGTTGTTAAAGCTCAAAAACTGCATTTTGGTACATAAAAATATGTTTACATGTTTCTCACCGAGGCAGACTCTCTTCGTGTAAAACTTCTACACGCACAAAGATATTTTGTACTCTAATCAGCCCCTCAAATTCATACAACATTGATTATTTTGCAATAAAGGTTGGTATACCCATTATTTTATTAAATGCAATCTTTTTCCTGGCAAATTGTCTCCTTGTCATTTCAAGCATTTTTTAGTATCACTTACCATCTAGCACTTGTCTGTTGGAGTTGCTGCTTGTTTAACATTAGATCAAATGGTAGCTTGTTGATCTCTAAAAACGTCCAATAATTGTATCTGCTTAGTTTGAGTGATGAGAGTTGCATAAATATTACATTTTACAGTCAGATAAATTCATCGGATACACTAGCAAAATCATATTTGTTTGTTAGTTACTCTATTTTCAAAAGTAGGTCTCTACACATCTTCTACTTTAATTTGCGCGATGATTACCCGATTGCAAACGGAAATATTTTGTTGATAAATGGCCTTCTTTGATTTAAGTGAATTTGGCTAACTTTTATCAACTTTTTTGCTGAATGATGGGCTGAGTTTTAAAAGGGTGTCTGTCCAGGTAATTCGACGGCTTCTTGGGTGCAAAAGCTTTAAATGGGAATGGTGATTATGTGATTACAGTCTGCGAAATCTTTGGGAAAAATGGACTGCAGTAGATCTGTGGCTACTTCAGTTGACTCTTGTTTCTCGTTCCTGTTGCGCAGCCATGATTTGCATCTTGGCTATTTCCTCTTTTTAAATTTGGGTTCTCTTGTCTTTCTATATCTGCCTTTGCTAGTGTGAAAAAGGCTAATGACTTCGATTTTCATAATTTTCCTTCAATCTACAATATATCACGCCTATTGGTGAAATTAGTTTAATGAGGCTGTTCAGCTAAGGTGCTTGCACGACATTGTATTGTAAAAGAAGAAGTTAATGCTGATAAAATATACACTTAAAAGCCATATAACAGAACTCGAAGTGCTAATTATGTACTTTTCAAGTGACTGTAAAGCTAAGCGATTCATTTAAGGCTGCTTTAAATTTTGTCACTGATGTGATTATCTGGGATGATGTTTATGTTCTTAAAAGTAAAATGTAAAATTACAATAGCAAAACTATATTCTCCGTTGATTTTAGGAGTTAATTACTAGTGCCAGTGTCACCTGATGCCTTTAGAAGTGCAATCTTCTGGTATTTAGGATGCTCAAAAGCTTTCTTGATAAGGAAAGTAGAAGAGTACTTATTGTGTTTTGCCAGAAAGTTGAAATTGTTAAGTTATTTATTTGTTGTTCCGAGTGACCTATGTAATAGTAGCGAGTGAAATGGAAAAACCTATGCGAAAGCAATTTTTCAAATTCCTTTTTAATTTTCCCTTTTTGTAAATTTTGTTGCAGTCATTTTCAAGAATACATTACTGTTGAAATGGGTTGCTAGTTATGTATGTAAAAAAGATGCAGAAATGTATTTTCATGGGTGGGGGAGGGGTGGGAAGGAGGGAGGGAGGAGGGAAGTATTTATGGGAAATCTGGTAGTTGAGTTGTAGCAAATAATATTTCCTGCAATTTTTCATCAATAATTTCTGAGAATTTGTCAGTAATTCCAGTAGTACCTTTTTTTTTTTTTTGGTTCCAAGAAATTTTTGTGCACGTTATCTTTTTGTTATTGAAGTTTTTCTGCTCAATTGATCCTGTGGCATCTTTTCCGCTTCTTGACACTGCATGTTTGTTTTATATCCATTTTACTAATGGTAATGGTTCATATGACCTTGATTTTGTTACTGGTATTAATGTTTTTACTGATTTATATTACATGTATACTCTTTTTCGTTCATTGTTCAACATGATTTGCACGAACTTTGAGTTAAAAGTGTTGAGTCAAGATAGATACTTGATTTGCTTAATGTTGTTCTTAATCATCATCCCCTGAACTAAAATATGTTGATTTCACTGATATGGATGGCATGCTTTCGAGTGCTGTGACGAGAGTTGCCTTAGCCTAACATATTAAGATTCCATGAATATTTGTCCTCTTATACTCGAAGAAAAGAAAAGAAAAAAAAAAATAGTCGTCGTCTTCAAAAAATGTTGGATTGCTTGCTTGTAAAGCAGATTTATAACTTATGCAAAGATGAATGTAGAATTTTGGTCCCTGCTTCAAGGTTTACGGATAATCCTTCTGCTAATATTGAGCGGCTACTGATATTCTAGTTGGTTTGTTTTTGATTAGTATGTAGAGATTTTTAATGGAATTGGCATGCATTTAAGCGGTTGGATATGGTCTTTTTAGTTTTCTTCTTGTCTAAATTTGTTTTTCTTTGACATGCAACTGGCAAGTGTTGAAAATGTATTCTAGGTATACCATTCTTC